TGTCTCAGCTTACGCCAGTGCCGACTTCTTTCTCTCGTAGCGAGGTTATTCGAGTGAGACACGGTCACCACGCTACTGCCCCATATAAAGCCGTACCCAGAACGCATGCCTGTACTGTACGAATTAGAGGTCTGGGAGCTGCACCGCGTTGAACACTGTTCAAGTTTCGTAAGAAGTGGACTAGACGGTTAGCTTTTCCATTCCATTCCTGTAAATGTTGCTTGAAGTTCAGCTGGGTATCAAGCCAGACTCCTAGCCACTAGACATGCGGTGATGTTTCGATTCGACGATCTCTCACCATGATGGAAAGGTCAACCATGTTGATTTTCCTTCTAGGTCCCCCTCCGGTCACTAGAAGTTCGAACTTTGCTGGGTCAAACTTGATCCTATGTTCTCCGGCGAGAAGGATGAGGCTGTCGACGTAGTCTTGTATTGCGGAGATGACTTCAGCCGCGATTTTTCCAACTCTGATGATGGCCATATCATCAGCATAACCAAACCTGCTCACAAGACTATGGTCCTAATATAGCACTGCTACATATAGCATATAGAGTAATGGCGATTGTGGCGAGCCCTGAGGTACTCCACATTCCAGTATCTTTTCCTCGGTAGTTCCACCGCGGTATTTTACCTTCACCTTTCGTTGGCAAAGAAAAGTCTGAATGAGCCGGCACAGGGAAAGTGGCCAACCTTGTTCTCGAAGGCATTTGAGCAGTCGGTTGTGAAGGACTGCGTAAAAAGCACCTTGAATGTCAAGTGTGACCATGGCCGCACACTTACCACTTCTAATGGCCGCCTAAGCATTATGGATTACACAGGACGCAAGGTCGACTGCAGATCGTCCTGATACAGAGCCGAATAAATGAGGATGAATTATCGTCAGCCACGCCATTCTCTTGCCAACTAAACGTTCAAGTACTTTGCCTAAACTCGAAAGCAGCGAATCGGTCGCCAGCCCTTGGTGGTTGAGAGATTTCCTCCCAGTTTGGGAAGAAGCACAACCTCTGCTACCCTGAAAGCCGTGGGAAAGTGGCCGATATTCAGACAGGCCTTGTAGAGATCCTTGACCAGAGGTCCCAGATAGGACCAACAGGCTTCAAGTAGACGTACTGTTATCTTGTCAGCATCTGGTGCCGTATCGTTGACAGAGACAGTAGCACTAGTCACATCATCAAGTGATATTTTCGTGTCCCATGGAATGCACTCTTCCCGTCCATTATCCCAGGTTGAAATATCGTTCTCGCCGCTGAATCTTGCCAAGAGAATGTCTCGTAGTGCAATAGCTTGCTCTTGTGGGTCAGATAGCCACCGGTTTTCGTCAATCTGCAAGGGAGGGGGCTCAGCTGCTGATCGAGGCTTAGCTCATCGCATGAGCTTGAAGACCTGGGCGTCAGTTGTAACTGATTCCACTTTCCTCTTCTATTACTCTCGCTTGGCTTTTCGCACCACGGCTCTGAAGCTTTTCCGTGCCGGAGACGAAAGTTTGGGGTTATCCCTTACTGCTTTGTAATCCAGTTATTGAGTGCGATATTCATCACTCCACCAGTAACTGGTTTTCCCGCTTTCTATGGCTGGGACCTTGTCCGCGATCTTCAGCGCATCTCCAAGTGCTTGCAAGAGGTCAATGATGAAAACTTCGATGTCTATGACACTGTGAAGAGGGCCAGATTTGGTCCATTGGCTGACACATCAGCTGAGCTCCGTAAGATTGGCGTCACTAACCCGAGTGATCCTTAAAATTCCAGAGAGATCTGAGCGTGTAGGATTAAGTACGGTACCCTCGATAGTCGAGTGATCTGAGGTACAGTGGTAGCGTGTGGAGACTGATGCTATCGCGGCTGTGTTGCTCCACGTTAGATCTAGGACGTTCCCATCACTGTGCGTTGCCTCTCCGACAATACCGACTAGGCCCATGTCGTGGGCTGTTCCCCATTCCATAATCTGGTTACCATTGCCGTACTAATTTGTTATTTGCAATTGCCAATGCTGTGACACAGAATTGAAATCGTCTCCGACAACCACTAAACCTCTAACTTCCCACGTGAGTAGGGGCTCCAAGGTTCCACTAGTGCCTGTGGCACGGTATACGTTGACAAAGGTTAGGCTGCCCATCTTTACAAAACAGTAGTCAGATGTCGAGCCTGATAACGGTGGAAATAGTTGAGTTGCATGACTACCTTTGCGCGTGAAAGTTATTGCGCGGGGCCGGATGTCTGTTCCTCCGAATGGTATATGGCTATTGTAGCCAGGGTGACTTTTTGTTAAAAAACCCCCCTCTTTCTTTCTTGTCCATGGTTCCTGTACCATGACTACATGTGCACCGGCATCCCATGCCTACTGTAATGCTATATCCGTGTTTTCCCCACCTCTTCCGACATTCACTTGATGAAAGTGGACGGTGTTATGTTTGTCTTTTGGTGGTTTTTTTTGAGGGGTTTCCTAACATTAACACGACATTGTTGAGTCCTGGGCAATGACTGTTTCAACTGCCTTACTCTTCCTTTCTGAGTACGCAAGAGTAGCGTGATAATCACGATGTCCGCGTTCTCTAATGATATGATGTTCTGCGGGAGTACAGGGCAGAATTATCCCATTTTGTTGTCTTGGCTGGGCCATATAGCTACCCTCATTTTCGTGGTGGGGTCCCGCACAGTTTGAGCACTTTGAAACCTTGGCCTGGCGCTGTGATGTCTCGTGAGTTCCCCCACATCGTCCACATCGATGGCTCCAGGTGCAGGAATGCGTTGTGTGGAATCTCCAGCAACGTTGGCATTGCATGATCGGTCGTCGGCGTTAGTGGGAATTGCCGGCCCGCTCTCGTCAAAGAGACGAAACTCTACATTTGCTGTTTTTTGTTGGAAATGAATAATCAAGCTCGTTGAGTATTGGCCAAGTTTTGTTTCTGTGAGCCTTACCTGGATTGGTGTGGCACCACATACTGCTTGGCACTCGTTCCTCACCATGTCGTTGGTGACTGGGATGCTAACTTCGAGCGTCCTGATGTACAATGGCACATGAGGTACGATCAATGATGTCCATTTGGACGCTGCCTCAATTACAGTGTTGTCTTCCTGTAGGGAAGATGCAATCCTCATGATTGTATCTCTTAATGCATCTGATGCGCATTCGAGAGCGATCCCCGACCTGACTGGGTATATCGGGGTGATAGCTGAGGCTGCTATCCCTACCCTGTCGATAATTATTTTCTTGATCGTGACTGGTGATAACTTGTGCTAGTGGTGATCTTTACTCAATCATAGGAACAAGCGCTTGTCCTCCGTTGGGGCTGTCTGGGGTTTCGGGTAGCCTATTGGTGCAGGCCTTCGCGGAATTTGCACGTTTGGCGGAGATGGTAGCTTGGCCGCTTTGTCGAATACTGTCGCTCAGGTTGACCTTGTGTCATGAGGTTTTGGCGGTAGGCTGCGGCCGTTATCCTCAACAACGATATGGTTCCTAGGCGCGACTAGTTTGGGAGTACTTGCCATGGTGGGGGGCTTCTTACTTCGAAAGTTGGTTGCTTCTGCCTGATCTACTGCAAAAGCAGTTATGACAGGCGTGATATTTTCCATCAGCGTCGCGACAAGTGCTGCTGCTTGCTTCTCTCCTTTGCTATTAGCCCAGGAGTCGGTTAATTCAAGAAATTCCTGGACTATGTCCAATCATTCATCTCTTTTTTTTCTGCTTTTTGCATTGCGTTTACAAATCCAAGCAGGCTTGAATGAAGTTCCCCTCCTAGATTGGAGGGCGTTGAAGATGACGATGCAACGACTGGGGCCATTGCACCGGTTGGTGGCTCTTGTAGAAAGGATGATAAGTGATGCGATGTGGGATGATAGGAGCGGTCTTCATATTCATAGAATGAATGAATGAAAGTTTATTTGTGACGGGCACAAGCCCTGCACTCAACGAGCATGACACGGAGAAGGCTACTCATTCTCCGAAGACTACATACGACGAAACCTTAATTTGACGTTTGGATAACTCATGTAGTGGGTGCATTCGCTGACGCCACTCGAGACCTTGGTGCTAGAGACTTTCACCCTTCCCTCAACTGTTAATATCCACCAGAGGGAAAACAGGAAAACCTCTGGCTACCCTAACATGCCTTCGTCATATTATATATAGCCGCCGCGCGAGATATGGCCTCACAGTCCTGTCTTTCTCGAGTGAGGTAGGTGTCCAGGCTACCCAGACTTTAATTCGGGGAGATGACGACCAGGATGCGGACCAAAACACCTTCCATCGTTGCCTGTTTTTAGAGTGTCAGTTGCACTATCCCAAATCATTATCTCGGCGCCCACAGACACCCTAGAGTCGAAAACACTCGAGAAATGTGCGTCCCAGCATGCATATTTGTGACCTTTTCACTCGTTCGTCCCACATTCCAGCTGCCTGTCCTCCCTCAAGATGTGAAGTCACATTAGAGCAGCGGTGCCCCATAGACCTAGACTCGAGCTTTGTAGATTATGCCTTAATTTCCTCCTCGCGGGTATACATAGCATCGTAAATTTGTAGTGGGAGATGGCCGGTTTTTGATGAGGCAAATGCCCGATTGCGATTAGAGTGACGCCATTATCGGTACTTGAGGCGAAGTGGTGTGGTTAGAGAGAGATTGAGGACTCAGATGAATATAGTAAGAGAGGCATTGTTGAGAAGTAGTCAATTTTACATTTGCTTGTGGTTGCTTTGGACTTCGATTCGAATGCGATTCTTCTCGGCTATCCCAGATATGCAGAGAATACTGAGCAATTACCCCGGCATCGCCATGAGGTGTTTAGATTTTTGTAGACCGCGAGGGAACGTGCCGCAGAGTGCACATGGACTAGTGTGGCCTGTGCGTATCATAACCAGAGTATCAGACGGCGCCTAGAAGTCAATGGCCTCATCGGGTGATCACGGTTACAACGTCAAGAATTACAGGCTACTGGAGTTGATAAGTTTACCCGCGAAGCTAGAGAGGTACGTTCAACAAATATTAAGATAGTAGAAACTCGTTTACAATGTCCCATCCTCTTCCTCCAGGCCTTTCAACAAATTCCTCGACACACCAATCTTCTTCAAATCGACCATCTCAGCAAAGCTTCAATGTTAATTCTGTCAATAATTCTCATGCGACAACACTGCCGCCAAACTTTAATGGATTTGCTCCACGATCTATTTCCACACCGCAATCCTCATACAACCAAGCCTACTCGCAAGCGTCGTACCAGCCGCAACAACATAACAATTATGCCTCTCTTCAACAACATGAACCGTCATATGGAGCAGCTCCCCAGATTAGAAATCCTTTTGCACCTCCTAGCGCGTCCTCGGGTGTCTCTCGAGGCTTCGAGGAAGATCCTGAACTGGCAGCCCAAATAGCGCAGTGGCAATCAGCATACGTTGCGAAGGAAAACTCATCTACTTCTGGATATACTGGTGCAGTTCGCAAGTATCCAAGTACAGGGGAAGGATCTTCAGCTGCTACATCAGCTAATGCTGCGCCACTCGGCGGATCAAACATAAGTTCTGCTGCACTGAACCTAGCTGCACATAATGATACTGGGATAGCCACTGTTGTGAGCGATGCTAAAACTAACACGAAGACAGTTGTAAGGTCTGGTGGTGGTACAACTTGGACAGATTCTTCACTCCTTGAGTGGGATCCTCTGCACTTCCGTCTATTCGTAGGTAATCTTGCGGGTGAAGTTACGGACGAGTCACTGTTCAAGGCGTTTTCGCGGTGGCCCTCAGTTCAAAAAGCGCGGGTCATACGAGATAAGCGCACCACAAAAAGTAAAGGATATGGATTCGTTAGCTTCAGCGACGGAGACGAATTCTTCCAGGCAGCAAGAGACATGCAAGGAAAATACATTGGCAGCCATCCTGTATTGTTAAGGAGGAGTACGACCGAGATTAAGGCAGTAAACCCAAAAGATCAAAGAAAGAATAAAGCAAAAAGCAAAGGAAAAGGCAACCAAGATAAAACCGGCGCTGGTGTTCACAAGCCAGGATCAAAGGTCAAAGGGGGACTCCGGTTGCTTGGATAAAGTATCGAGTAGAACTATTACTATTGAACTTTACTATACAGTACTACGTAATCCGCCGTCTATTTTTAAAAGTAAAAAGCTGAGAGATAGAAAGATAAATAACTCATCTACTTACTCACTAGGTGCATAAGGTCTACTGAAATGAAGTAGAAAGGACTTCAAAATTATTTCCTATCTACCTTATACTACTCACGCTATTTTGAAATCACTGCACCAGAGATCAAGAAGCAAAGTATCAAAAACTTTATTTGCGGCATTCAACCTTGGACACAAATAACCAGCAGTTTAAGTCTGATATGGAGCTAGATGTAGTCTTGGGTAGCTTGCAGAGAACTAGAAAATCTTTATTATCAGCTAACACGTTCGTAGCTTCTCAAATTAATTGATTTACATTTGACATGGGATAATTAGATCGATGAGACGGCGAAGGTTGGGAAAAATATTTTCATATTTTCATCTTTATAATGAAGACCAAATTGAAACGAGTGCGTCACAGAGATGGGCCCTTGCCGAATGGACACAGAGAACAAGTGCCCGTGTGATATTTAAATTGCGGGACAGGAGATTATTAAAGAAGTTCTAGTCTGAGTATTTCTCAAAGGCAATTTAGCTCACTTATCCTGGGATGGCTTTCTAATCGAGATTTTAAATCTCTTTCTTTGAGCGATTAGCAATTGTTTCTTTAGTTACTCAGCTAATTTTGATGATAAGTGTATTTTGTACATTTCAAGTAACTCTAATGAGGTAAGTTAAAAGTAAGTGACATTTTTGATATTAGGGACGCTCAAACTCAGTAGGCTGTAAACGAATACCCCTGAGTTGAACAATTTCATGCGTTGTAGCCATCCTCTTCCGGGGGTACCAAATGAAAGAAAGTCTTCATATCACTAGCTATATAGTAATGCTTATACCGGACAGCAGCACCACCATCGGGGCTAACTCTTTGGACACTTCGACGACCAACGCCGAGTGAGGAGGTGCCTTCTCTTTAATAACTCTTAACGTTAGTCTGATTGAAGGGTGAGCTAACGAAATGTGGGGAAAGTTTATAAATTTATGGTTGAGCAGAACGTCCACAGCATTAAGCCGGGACGGTTCATAGTGGCGGAACATCGGGTTTTGTTTGTTGAAAGCTTTTTCTCCAACCAAAGCGGCTTACCGTCTATATGGTTCTGTATATAGATACCGCATAGGACGTTAAATGAGAATATTTCAATTCAATGCTTATACTGTCCAATGCACAAGTTTAGCAAGAAATGTGATCGAATCGTGCTGAATACGATCCATTAATCTTCTGTTGCGAGTGGGATAGTTACCTAAGTTATCTTGACTCTACTTACTATACTTATTTTGAGTGGGCACCACTTTACCATTCGTCATTGACTGTTTTTACAGTGCCACTTGCACCACTGGAAACGAAGTCACGGCCACGTAGTGCTCCTCATTGAAAATTCTTACTCAAATACCAAGGTCCCAATCTCTAACGATATCTAGTTCCATGATGGTCATATACATTACTTCCTTCTCGATAATCTATCCTGTCAGATTTTGGCGCGGCGTTTTTTGTTCCCTGGCTAAGGCCTAGACGTGATAGTCAATTGATGCCCCAAGTATTCATTTTAGAAATTGAGCTCAAGCAATAGAAACTCCGGCTCACATCAGGTTAGTTACCATAAATTATGCAAGGGGCTCGTCTCGCCCACTTGAGAATACCATGTCAGGTCTTACCCATACCTTGAAAATTGGCAGTCCCTGCAATCCAAATAATCTAATCTATGCATTTTGAATCGCATTTTGCTTCTTGAACTTGAATATTTTGATTCAAAAAAAAAGTTGCAATACTATTTTGCGATGTACATGAGTCAGGAGAGAGACCACAATATGTTGTTAGTTAATTAGTCACGTGGATTAGTGCAGCTCGGCGTGTCGCCTTTATGGCTGACATGGCTATATCATCTCACAGCATATTCTCATTTGTAGATTGTACTGTAAAGACCCTTCCGTTCTGGCTCCGATCAGAAACAACCACAAAAACATCAAACCCCCCCTTACCACCCTTCACAAGTCGCGTCAAAAACCGACAACTGTAGCCAAACCGACACCAGAATCAAGCCGCATCCCGCGCTCAGCGCGCGCGAGAGCAGCCCTCCCGACTATGGAGGGTCTTACCCAATCTCAGGCGGTAGAAGCCATTCCCTTCTATAATCCAGCTCTTAGCGATTGGGACACACCCGGGAGCAGCCAGCAGCTTGACATGGAGATCGATCCAATTAATTACGACGATCAAATCGAATACGACGACCCCATAGACGACCCATTTTCAGAGCCAGCTCCCGCGGGCCCAATGCAAGACACTCTGACCAAGAGCGTAAACTCTTTGACAGCCCGAGCAAAAGAAGCAGAGACCCTTTTTGGAGGTATTTCTGCACTAATCGACAAGCATAGCAGCGCACCCAACTACGCTACACTACCCGCCAAGCAAGCTGAAGCATTCAAAAGCCTTTGCAATGATTTAGCTAAAGTCGCAGCACGGCATTTCGATGCTTACCTCTGTGACAAGCCAGTGACCGTCACCATCGACGCCGCCACGTCCAACCGCAATGCCCCAAAAACTGCGCAGACCTACGCAAATGCAGCTTCAAGGGCGTCCAATAAGCAATTCGCCGGTCGCCACACTCCAACCCTCCAAACACCCGCTAAAGCGCGGCTTCAGCTCAAGCCCACCCGCACTGATGATCGTTTATTTGTCCGTATCCCGGAAGGTAATACACTCCGAGATCACTCAGCATACGCGATACAATCCCACCTGAAAGCTAAGCTTGGCAATGAGGGTCTGATTCTTACAAATGTGCAGTCAACAAAGACTGGTTTCGCTCTCTGCCCCAAAGACGGAGACTCAGAAAATCTCATGGAAAAGATAAAGTCCGTTAGTTTCTTCGGGGACGCACCAGTTGAGAAAGCAACACCATGGACTTCCTACCGCATAAAAAATGTTCCCCGGACATATGGAGCCCTGGAACACATCAACGAAGAATGGAAGTACTGCCTTAAGCCCGTCACAGCTGAGGCGTTGAAGGATGCCCTAGCCACGGCAGCTGGAGCGGTACCTGTAGCTATTGCGGCTTCTCGCGACAATGATGCTAATCCAACGTCCTCATCGACGACATGGATCGTGCGTTTCCCAGAATCACATCAGCGCCTGCCACGAACCCTCTTCCTCCTTGGCTACCGCACGCAGACAAGAATTCTGCCCAAGCGTCAGATGGCTGTCCAGTGCACCCGGTGCTGGCTCTGGCACAATACACGCACATGTGCCTCCGACCTCAGATGCCGCCTTTGCGGATCCTCCAGACACTCCGAAAAAGACCATGCCAATCAATGCGGCGCTACGGGCCAACACATATGTCCCAACAGATGTATCCACTGTCATGGGCCCCATCCCGCGGACGATGTCAGCTGTCACCTCCGGCCTAAGCCCTCCGGTCCTCCAAAGACCAAGAATCAAGTAACTGCTATCCGCCAGATTAACGCAGACGCTCGCCTACGGAAACAAGCAGAAGCTGGCTGTATCAAGGCTACGGCCAGCCCCAAAACCCCGCGTACTACGGCCGCAACTCCAGCTGAAATAGGCCAAACCCAGCCGGTTTCAGTAAAATCCATCAACCCCTACGAAGTTCTACTCACAGGGGATCAGAGCAACGACCAAGCGCAATCGTAATGACCCCTTTACGGCGCCGCAAACATAACAATTGCCCATTAAAAATAGTATCTGCAAATGTCGGCCGCGGTGCCCAAGCGCACGAGTTAGCTCTCAACGAAGCCAGCCTAGCCTCCGCTGATATTGTCCTAATACAAGAACCGTACATTTACAGCGACCGCGCCAGGCGGATCACCAAACGCCACCCATCCTTTGAGTCCTTCTCACCTATCGACGACTGGACATCTTCACGACCCAGGGTGATGTCCTATGTGCGGAAAAATGCCTGTCTCTGTTCAGAACAGGGTTATACGGCATTCTCAGGCGATATGCTTCTTCTTAAAATTATCTCGTCCTCTGGTAAGTCCATAAGCATTATCAACGTCTACAACGCTCCTGCAGGACCCACCAGCAATAGCGTTCTCGATTCTCTTTACTCTCTCACCCTCCCATTCGAAGGCAATCTGCTTATCTCTGGAGATTTCAACCTACACCACGCCAGATGGCAGCCATCATGGACCCGCAGCCCCTCCCCCGGCGCCGTAAAATTCACAGAATGGGCAGATAAAAATAGTCTCTCTCTTCTATCACCTGCAGATATGGCAACGCATGACCGAGGCAATGTACTCGATTTAGTTCTCGGATCCAGCCCTCTAGTTCAAAAGACAAAGTGCACCCTCGCTCCACACCTGGACACGACGTCAGACCATGCCACAATACTCACTTTAGTAGATTGGGAAGGCTATACTGAACCCCTCCGCAGGCTCAGATTCGACACGTTGGATAAGGATCTTTTCCTCCGTCTCCTATCCATCAATATTGATGGTATTAGTCCAATTCCACTAGCTTCCACCAGGGAGGCGCTGGACAGGTGTGCTATAGAGTTAACAGAAGCTATTCGTACAGCATACACGGGCGCAGCCCGCCGCTCACTAGGCCATGGTAAAGGGAACCCATGGTGGGATATATCATGCAAACAGGCTCGCCAAAGATACAAGAATGTCCGTTGCGGACCCATAACAGAGGAAGGTGTTGCCAGAGAGAGAAAGGAGTATCGGGGCACGATTGCAAGGGCAAAGAAGGCATACTTCACTAACAAGATTGCCGCAGCCAGTACGGGCAAGGACATCTTCGCTCTGACAAAATGGCATAAGTCCACGGGTAACTTCCGATCCACTCCCCTTAAAGACCCTAGGTCTCCAGACCGTCCTCCTGCAACATCGTTGCCAGAAAAAAGGGAAATTCTACTCGGTAATTTACTCACAAACCTGACTGTAGTGGATGATATCCCTTTGGATACCCC